AGACGGGCTTCTATGTAGTCAATATAGACTTGCTGAACACTGCCTTAGGGGCTGAAAATCCCCCCACACACACACACAAGTGTCTCAGAGCCCGGAAGATTGGTTGTGCCTTGCCTGTTCAGAAAGTTCCAGACAGTGGATGCAAGACTTGACTGTGTGTTGCTCTCTGAGCCACAGAAGACATTGAGCATGGTCATCAGTCAATGATAACTTTCCTCTGCACTGCCAACACTTTTTAGAAGATGTCCTGTGCACCACAGCATCAAGAGAGGGTAGAAAGGATGGAAGAAACTGGAGCAAAGAAAGAAGGGAAGGAACAGAACTCTGTGTAAAACCTAGTCCACATTGAAGGAATCTATGAAGAAAGTGTTTCTAAGCGCTACCACTGCCATGGCAGATGGAAAAAGAACTGAGTGGAAAGATGCCATTCCTCTCCCTTTGGCATGGGTGGTAATGATGGTGTCTCTGCAAAAAGACAATTTTGATATCTAAAAGCTAGCTAGCTCCAGAAATTTCCAAACTGAAGATCTGTGCAGGGACCACATCTGTCAGCGTGATGTACAGAGACGATGAAGAAACCAAATGTACACCCCAAATTCATGTAAAGCAAAAGAAGGTGCAAAAGGGGGCGGACATGTATTTTAGGTGAGGTATGAATTATATAAAAATATTTTTATATGCTGCACACCCATGATAGGGAGATGATTTATTTCCCATTTGCAAAACTAATACTGCAGTCCTATAGAATGTTTTTCTTCTCTGGAAAATAGACATGTGTTGTCGTTTGTGTGTTCATTCATATACTTATCTCAAAATATGGATGTGTGTAATCGTGCCTTCGAAATATAATTTGGGGGAAGTGATTTACAAGAGTGTATATGTACACACACACACACCAACTATTCCTAGGAAGAAAGGGCTAGGAAAGAGTAGAAATTTGCATAAAAGTGTGGATCGCTCATCGGGAGGTGCATTGCTCTGCCCTACTGCTATCAGTTAAGTGAAGTTCCAGATTCTCAGGGAAGAAATGAATCCATGTGTTGACAGCCTTGTAATCCTAAACTGGATGCACATGTTTACTCTTGAAAGCTTGTTCTTAATTCGCAGTGCATTAGGCTGAACTTTGGCTGTATGTGTTTGTCTTAGTGATATTTTTGGTTATTCTACTCAAATGAATCTTAGGACCCAATAATCATGCCTTGTTATGCCACTGAATGGGAGTAGCTGTACACTTTATGTAGCAGTTATGCTTGCTGTGGGCTTACAGCAGGAGACAGGGAGGTGTGGAAGTTACTCCTAGGTTGGATGTAGCTGCTGGGATGAAGGGAAAGAGACTTGGAAGCACCTTGATGGATTGCTGGATCCAAAATTTTGCTTCCAAAAAGTTTCAAATGCACAGTTGCAAAGCTTCTGGGGAAGGGTGCAATGGTAACACTGCAGGACTATTAGAACAGCATTGCAGGCAGAGCAACGTAAGTGTCAGCTTCACAGACACATTGCAACACATAACACAGCCTACTCAAATTCAGAAGCATTCACGAATTTTACAAAGGATACACAATGTCTTCACTCATCCGCTGCTTAAATAAAACAAGTGTGTGTTTAATTGGCAAACATACCAGTGTAGCTAATCTTTTAAAAAATTTTACACTGATTTATAAGTCTGAAAACAAGTTTCCGTATATTAACCCCTTTATGCCCTACCAATTTTTGGGTGGGAGGGAACTATCAATTTTTTGGAGGGGAGGAAATAGAAAGGTGCTTCTTTGGTTACTTTGAAATTGTGTCAACTTATCTATTATGAGATCAAAGTCCTGTTGGATCAAACTCAAAAGACAACCGTGTTTTGTAAAATTAACCAAAGCTAAAGTTTCTTCCTTATATTTATAAAAAATGTGATAACTTAAGAGTCATGACAAATATATTTCATATGGAATTTACATAATAGTACTTATGCTAGGATCTTTTTTTTTTTTTTTGGCTGTTCAGTATAAAAAACTGTTGAAGCAACTTTAGAAAAATGCCTTACTTCCTGGTAGAAAAAGAACTGCTCCAAAACATGTAGTCCAACTCAAGAGTCCTGTGATGTGAATGAATCCCTACTATACAATTATGTCCTAATACATAAAGGATACATATAAAGAAATCTGCTTTATGCTCCATAGAGACAATTCCAGAGGGGCAGCCATTATTAGTCTCTTGCAAGTGTGTGTTTAATTGGCAAACATACCAGTGTAGCTAATCTTTTAAAAAATTTTACACTGATTTATAAGTCTGAAAACAAGTTTCCGTATATTAACCCCTTTATGCCCTACCAATTTTTGGGTGGAACTATCAATTTTTTTGGAGGGGAGGAAATAGAAAGGTGCTTCTTTGGTTACTTTGAAATTGTGTCAACTTATCTATTATGAGATCAAAGTCCTGTTGGATCAAACTCAGGAGACAACAGTGTTTTGTAAAATTAACTAAAGCTAAAGTTTCTTCCTTATATTTATGAAAAAATGTGATAACATAAGAGTCATGACAAGTATATTTCATATGGAATTTACATAATAGTACTTATGCTAGGATCTTTTTTTTTTTTTGGCTGTTCAGTATAAAAAACTGTTGAAGCAACTTTAGAAAAATGCCTTACTTCCTGGTAGAAAAAGAACTGCTCCAAAACATGTAGTCCAACTCAAGAGTCCTGTGATGTGAATGAATCCCTACTATACAATTATGTCCTAATACATAAAGGATACATATAAAGAAATCTGCTTTATGCTCCATAGAGACAATTCCAGAGGGGCAGCCATTATTAGTCTCTTGCAACAAACACAGCAGCTCTTGGGGCACCATAAAGACTAACAGATTTATTGTGGCAGAAGCTTTTGTGGAACAGACCCCACTTGCATCTGACAAAGTCTTTAACATGCCGCAAGACACATTGCTGATTCTCCTAGACCTCGTAACTTGTACTTGTCAGGATAACAGGCACGTTGTCTTCCTGAAGCAAAACCACCAAAGCTGCTGAACTTCCATCCCATTTTATTATTTTTTTCAGTATGCATGACAGACTGTCAGTATGTCTCCAACTCAGCAGTAAGGAAAAAAATAGTCATTTGCACAGTCACTTTGGTACACATTTCAACTGGCCTCATAAAAATATTGAAAAGCAAACTGAATTGGCACATCTTTAATATATTATGTTAAATACATACAAAACACTAATAAAATATCCCTGATAAACCAAAGTGCATATAGACCTAGCACACAATGCCCAGGTACCTTATTGCACCATTCTCTATAGCCACCCATCTCTTGAACATCACTTAACAGTTGTCTATTTAAAGGTAAGTAACAGTCATGAATAAATGTATAACAGTTAAACACTAATTATTTTACATAACAGTATTCAGTGCCAGATAACATGTCTTTGCCTTTTGACATTGCCATGTAAAATTACTCACATGTTGCAGGAAATCAGTATAGTAACAGCAAAATTTAAATATGTGATCACATGATAATGACAATTTTGATGTGCTACATTGTAAAGATTCACAAAGCCACCTTCCTAAAGTACATGATTTGGCTGAGGAAGGTAGCAAGCAATTCACTATGGTATCTGGGGACTGCTATATTAGAAACTTACTATGTGATATGTTATTTGATATTATAATAGGGTTTCCTGAACAATTAATTATAGGCCTTTAACCCAAATGTATGTTAAAGCAGTAGTGCCAATAAAAACTGGTGAAATTTTGTATTTGACCTTTTTGTAGTTTGGGAATAACCTTCTCATTTCTTATGCAAACATTCTTCAGTGTTTTATCATTCAAGTAAAAATGCTGTGCATGAAGATTAATTCATGGTACCAGGGTATATATTTAAAGCTGGAACTGGTGGTTAATGCCAACACAATTAAAGTTTAAGGCATTTTTCTAAATATATTTTCTTACTTCCCCTCCCCTATGCAAAATGAAACAAAGCAATAAAAATTGAGGTAATTTTATAGTTGTTCACACTGTTATGTTTGCCAGTTGACACACGTTGATAGGCCACACACATACATAACACACAGAACCAGTCAAGTCAAACATGCAAATGGTGAAAAAAGACTGATGGATGTAATGATGTAGAAAGAGTTCACTGTTGAGCAACTTTTGACATTGCACAGTACAACAATGCCATATGGTCTCAACCATATTAAAATACTACACACCACAACCCAGAGCATAGAGCACTTATGTTTTTTTTTGTTGTATTGTTTTTCACTTGGCTTAAAAAAAGAATATAACAAACATTCTGGCAAAGTTGTGTGAAGAAACACTTGCAGTTTTTGGAAAGGAAAAAAACACAAGTGAAGGAGCCTCACTCAAAGCATCACCCAGTAACAGTATTTGAGAGAGCTTCAGCTACTGGTAATAAGAAGGTTTTCATGGTAACAAATGCAGATTTTAAAGCCAGGACGTTTAAAATTGTGAAGCATGATTGTTGAAGCAATGAGATTAAAAGGAAGATGGAAATGAACACTCTCATTTTGTTTCACTATCCTGAAAGAAAACTGAAGCTAACCTGTTATGAGATAGAGGAGCCTTAGATAAAAGGAGAACTTTAGCACTACAAGGTGTCATTATTGTGATGTGATCACATTCACAATAAGTTTTCAGTTTCACCATCAAACTGAAATCATGAGCCAGCTAAGAACCTTTTTTCACCATCACCAAGCAAACTGAAACCAGCTCACTTTGTAGAGGACTTGCAACACACTGTAGAGGCACTACATCACACATCCAAACACCTTCATCATCTCCACTACCACTGCTACTCAGCCTCCAGAGAAGAAAGACACTGTATGCCAAGGCCCAGTGCCAGGGGGGAAAAAGATTCAGCCCAAGGTAAATCTAGGCAGATTCAAGGAAATGTTCCATACAGAAAGAAGAATAGAGCAGAAGGCAAAGTCCACATTTGATGTGGCATGCATTTAAGGGCAAAGGCAGAGTTATAAATGGGTCTTTTACTTGAAGATATTTTCTGAATAGGATAATCTGGGTCTGGTCTTGACAGCCACTGTATCATGTAAGTTTTCTTTGATGTATCTGATGAATTTTCTGAAACAGAAATGAGGTAGAAATTGGGAAGAAAAAAGTATGAGCACATTTGTAGCTTTGCAATGCACCATTTAAAATCCTTGGCTGAATAAACAGAATTAATAGCTCCCAGTTTAATTTTTAAAAAGGCAACTATCGCTAAAAAGAAATGGCTACACTTAGGGAAATATCCTTACAATATCCATTTTCAAGGATTTAAAATTTTGGGCATGTCTGTTCAAATTCATCACATGCAAGCTTGAAAAGTAATGACTGGAAGCGTTTCCAGAAAAGCAAAAGCAGAAAACAAATCCATTACATAAACACTTTTGTTTATGTGAATAATCATACGTTTTTTAGTATATGCATGAAAATGTAAATTGTGCATGTGATACAGTTGTGTGCAGACAACTGTACTGCAAAAGGACTTTTCTCCAGTCATCTGACACTCCCTGATTAGTATCCTTTGAGGCACACCAGAGTTTACTGCTATGCAGGATGTGACAGAGCCCTATGAGTGCCAAACTAGGTAAATTATCTCTTTTTTTACACCGTTAGGGATATTAACTTCTCAAGAGATGAAAAAGAGTGTGTGTGTGGGGGGGAAAGGCTCCTGGTTATCTTTTTTTTTTTAATGTATTACCCAATTTCCACTGCCAAATCTTCCAGCAAGCAAGGAGTTTGGCCAATGCATAACTCACTGACAGAAGACAGCTGTTTCTAGGAGCAATAGCTATTGTTATGTTTACTGTTTTTCCTTTGATTGTTTTCCTGTATCTATCAGCTGGTATCCTCCCCCCCTCCCCAAGATATCCACACATGTAAGTACTCCTACTACTGGAATTTCCAAAGCCACTGACACTGGGAATATGAGACAGATTACAGAGAAATAAACCCAACATTCTTTTTCACCCAGACAAAACTTTTTAAAAAACTAACAAATTTAATTTTAGCAATTTCTCAAGCATCACAAAGAGCAGTATCTTCAAAAAAGTACTCACTGGGACATAAAGGTAATCTGCAGAGCCTTATTGTGTCTGGCTTGTCTTCTTTGCAAAAACCCATAACATTGTCACTTGTCCTGCACAGAACTTGCCTTTCTTGAGTGCCATTACCACAAGTGACGGAACACTGGAGAGAATAAATAAACAAACAAACACTGGAGAGAATGAATGAATGAATAAATAAAGTAAATAAAAAACACAAACTGAGCATCAATAGTGGAATCTGCATTGGTATTTTCCACTGCTTTGGCTACACTCTCGCTCCGTCTCCAAAAAAGATGTCCACATCTCTAGGTTTCGCTCTCCTACTGCACTGTTATAATATCTGCTGTCTGCATTATTTTATTGCCCTATGGTTTCGGCTCCGTCATGATTGTGGCTTCTCTCCGGCTCAAATGGATGTGCTTAAAAGCACTCTAACCCCCCCCCAGTGCTAATCGGAGGCTTATCTGCTCTGTTTACCTTCTGACACCACATAGAGTAGGGCTGCCAAATGCCCCCGGGGGGCGGATTCCCCCCCCGAGTCTTGTGAGCAAAAATTCCTCTTTGTGAGCGACAAAGAGTTTTCCCCTCAAATGGCGTGGCCCCGCCCCCAGCGTGAGACGTCACTTCCGGGTGACACGCGCGCACGTTCCAGACGCTGGCCGGGAGCCCCCCCCCTCCCGGCCAAAACATATTTGGCAACCCTAACATAGAGGAATGTAAGAAACTTTTTCCCTTGCTTGACAAGCTAAGAGTGAATGATTTTATCTTGTTTTGTGATGTTTATATTGCCTGAAAAGTTAGAGAAAGATCCCTTCTACATACATACATACATTCTGCAAACTAAACACCCAGTCTTTACATTTTTTTTGCCAATTTTGGCTATTTTTACTTTCTTGTTTAAACCAAAAGCTGGGCAAAACTGAAAGTTGAGAAAATCCTTCTCTTTGAATGTAAAGAGAAGTTTATAGCTTGTTGGCTTGTTGCCGTAAGTAATTTATTGCCTTGTGTAAAGCTAATGGGTGCTGCAAACGCCGGGTGTGCTAGAGAAGAGGGAGGAGAACAACAGCATTCCCCGGCCAGCAAGCAGAAAAAAATAGCAGATCGAAAAAAGCATCACACCAGTATAAAGAAAGACGGCATCAAGACTGCTTTAAAAATGAAATGCAGATTCGGCCAATGTCTCTTTTGCATGTTTGTTCACAGTCAGCAGGTATTATAAGTAATGGCTTGGACCAAAGGTTTCAGTTCCAGTAATAATGGAACCTTCCTCCAATGCAAGGAGATGATAGTTGACAGAAGCAACCTTCATCCAGAAGAAGAAACATATTGTGCTGGTAGAAGCCTTCTTAGCACAACAGAACTTTAGGATCCAACTCATAATGATTTTTGTGAACCCGATTATTTTGCATCACTTAGTGCTATTCATCATCATCATCATCATCATCATCATCATCATTATGGTGATATATAATAAAGTTAACTATGAATGTCCCAGCAACATCATTCACACAGTACTTTCACAGAATACCTAGACCTATATGCGCGATCCTTTTATTGTGTTATGACTATGGATTTACCTTCTCTACTGAAATGAATGGGGAAACTGATGTTCATAAGTATGTGATGTGTGTGCACATTCAAACCCAGGTGGACTCTGGACTGGAATATCCACCCAGCTGAAACGCTTATAACTATTGACAACATTAGCAACTAATCAGTAATAGAGCAAACCTGGTAAGGCTGCTGGAGAGCTGTTGGAGAGGCCAGGCTCTCAGTCTGATGATAAAGGCACTTTACGCCGTTTATTCCAGGTAACCTAGGCTACTGTGTGCCAGGATGCTGTGTATTCCTGATGGCTTCCTTCATCTCACCCTTGCTTTTGACTCAGCCTTCATATAGCCTCCTGTTAAGGCATCTGCAATGTTTGAACTGACTACCTGAGTCTGTCTGGTTCCTGGCCTCTGCTTCTCCAGCACTAGTCCCAGAACCCTATTATGCCTCGGTTCTAGTGTTGGATGCTCCTGATCTGACCACATCATGGATTTTGATTGAAAAATGTACAGTCCAGTTTGATGGATGACTACACAGATCTACAAGCTATTGTCAGGATTCTTAGGATACAAAGCTTATAGGATCCAGACGCTGTCAAATTGTTACTAGACCCACTTTTGATCATCTGCGATCAACATTCAACATGCTAGCCAAACATAAATGTTCAGGAAAACCTGAAACACACACACAAAATTTTAAACTTCAAGCATCAACATTATGGAAACAATCCAACAAACACAAATCTTGTGCAATTCATTCCCCTGGATTTTTCAAGGGGCCTGTGTGGACGACAAGGGTATGAACTGTTTGGGCCTCTGGGCAATGTTAAAGCTTGTTAAGTGGTACAAATGGTAATTATCTGACAATATTGTCAGTATTATTAATAAAACTAAATTAAACTATAATCAAATAATGCTACAGAGTGTTGTTTACCTGTGACCAGGGTCCTATCCGCCACTGAGCAGGGCAAAGTTCTCGGTTGCAAGCTCTCCTACCCTCTGGACGATCGCTACTGCAGTATTTGGTATGAACAGAACGGTTTGTGTTGTCATGAAGTGGCTGGATACACCGCACAGAACGCATCTGATATCCTGTTTTCCCACAACTTTTGCTGCAGGGTTCCCAGTCTCCAGTAACCCATCTGGTTTAATGAAAAGAGTCTGACATATAAGTTTATCCGTCATAGGCCTTGTTAATATTTTTGAAAATCTATTAATTTAAAATGCCCAGTTTTTAGGACAGCTTTTAACACTGTATCTTGTACAGAAAAGAGCAAATGTCCAGTAGCACCTTAAAGACTAACAAAATAGGTGGCAGGGTATCTGAAGACGTGAGCAGTGACTCACAAAAACTCATACCCCGCCACGTATTTGTTAGTCTTTAAGGTGCTACCGGACTCCTGCTCTTTTCTACTGCTACGGACAGACTAACACGGCTACCCATCTTGATGTATCTTGTATAGATATCTAAGAACAAAATCCTTAGAAGTTGAGAAGGATGAATATATATAAATTACCTTAAGGGTATATGTAAGTCTTAACCAGGGCCACTTCCATACCAAGGTTTCCCCCCACTTTGGCTTCTAAACTGGAGTGCTCTTTTTTGGAGCATCCACATGACATCATGCTGCAATTGTGCTCTAATCACCTTCAATACACTCT